AAATATGACCTTGACCTTTGACCTCGATCGGCAATTTTGTTGATTGTGACGCATCCTTGTGTGGCGGCACATGTTTTGTGTAAGTTTCAGCCCGATCGGACGGTAAATAAAGTTTTTATTTGGTACCCCGTCGAAAAATAACGGTTTTTCGCAAATATGACCTTGACCTTTGACCTCGATCGGCGATTTTGTTGATTGTGACGCATCCTTGTGTGGCGGCACATGTTTTGTGTAAGTTTCAGCCCGATCGAACGGTAAATAAAGTTTTTATTTGGTACCCCGTCGAAAAATAACGGTTTTTCGCAAATATGACCTTGACCTTTGACCTCGATCGGCGATTTTGTTGATTGTGACGCATCCTTGTGTGGCGGCACATGTTTTGTGTAAGTTTCAGCCCGATCGGACGGTAAATAAAGTTTTTATTTGGTACCCCGTCGAAAAATAACGGTTTTTCGCAAATATGACCTTGACCTTTGACCTCGATTGGCGATTTTGTTGATTGTGACGCATCCTTGTGTGGCGGCACATGTTTTGTGTAAGTTTCAGCCCGATCGGACGGTAAATAAAGTTTTTATTTGGTACCTCGTCGAAAAATAACGGTTTTTCGCAAATATGACCTTGACCTTTGACCTCGATCGGCGATTTTGTTGATTGTGACGCATCCTTGTGTGGCGGCACATGTTTTTTGTAAGTTTCAGCCCGATCGGACGGTAAATAAAGTTTTTATTTGGTACCCCGTCGAAAAATAACGGTTTTTCGCAAATATGACCTTGACCTTTGACCTCGATCGGCAATTTTGTTGATTGTGACGCATCCTTGTGTGGCGGCACATGTTTTGTGTAAGTTTCAGCCCGATCGGACGGTAAATAAAGTTTTTATTTGGTACCCCGTCGAAAAATAACGGTTTTTCGCAAATATGACCTTGACCTTTGACCTCGATCGGCGATTTTGTTGATTGTGACGCATCCTTGTGTGGCGGCACATGTTTTGTGTAAGTTTCAGCCCGATCGGACGGTAAATAAAGTTTTTATTTGGTACCCCGTCGAAAAATAACGGTTTTTCGCAAATATGACCTTGACCTTTGACCTCGATCGGCGATTTTGTTGATTGTGACGCATCCTTGTGTGGCGGCACATGTTTTGTGTAAGTTTCAGCCCGATCGGACGGTAAATAAAGTTTTTATTTGGTACCCCGTCGAAAAATAACGGTTTTTCGCAAATATGACCTTGACCTTTGACCTCGATCGGCGATTTTGTTGATTGTGACGCATCCTTGTGTGGCGGCACATGTTTTGTGTAAGTTTCAGCCCGATCGGACGGTAAATAAAGTTTTTATTTGGTACCCCGTCGAAAAATAACGGTTTTTCGCAAATATGACCTTGACCTTTGACCTCGATCGGCAATTTTGTTGATTGTGACGCATCCTTGTGTGGCGGCACATGTTTTGTGTAAGTTTCAGCCCGATCGGACGGTAAATAAAGTTTTTATTTGGTACCCCGTCGAAAAATAACGGTTTTTCGCAAATATGACCTTGACCTTTGACCTCGATCGGCGATTTTGTTGATTGTGACGCATCCTTGTGTGGCGGCACATGTTTTGTGTAAGTTTCAGCCCGATCGGACGGTAAATAAAGAAGTACCTTATGGTTGTTTATAGCCAGAGTGGTTTCTTGCTCCTAGAGGTCAAAATATTTGACCTAGGAAAAAATGAGTGATATTTTTGGAATCAGCGTGTCAAGATCTATCGTTTGACATAGTTTGGCGATGTTTGGAACTCGACGCTGAAAACGAATACGAATACGACGCTAACTTGATGGACATCATGTGTGCGCGTGTAACAAAGCGGCGCGCAGCGCCGCGAAATTTGGTATAACCTATTAGGTAGGTATACCTACCTACATCACTTGCGTAAAAATTATCACTGGTCACTTAAGGTCAGGTCGCCATGTCAAGTTCAGTTATACGGTATACCTCTATCAAACTTTCCCCTCTCGCCATTCTTGTAGCTTTTCTCCCATAACTTCGAAATTTGGTACACTGTATACCTAATGTATGGGGTTATACGTGTCAGCAATTCATGATTCTGAGGATTTACATCTATGATCTGCAATGGAGGCAGGTCAAATACGTGACCTCATCATTAGAAAATAATGAGAAATTATAAAAAGCACGAATGCCTCCTGCTTTGAAAAAGTTCGTCAGAAACGCAAAATATCTTTGGAGCCGTGACAAATCAGCTCATCATTGCCAGGGACAGGGTGCAACTTATGGCGAGTGATGACTCGAAAGGTCATTAGTGGAAATGTCCATCGATGGCCACCAGCATTTTTTTTTTCTACAACTTTTGACGAAGACGCGGTAGAGCGATGACAGCACCTGGAAGGTGTTCGTAGTTCAGCTCAACAACACGGATCCATTCATATGCAGCAGGAGGTCCTTTTTCGATCAGGACATAACGTTGACCTGAGGTCGTTTTAACGTTAATTCTGAATGGTCAAATTTTAACTCATGTGACGTGTCTCAAAGAGATAAACACAGTGGTGACAAGACAACATATGTAAGTACCATACAAACTCACGGAATCTAAAGTTATTGCAAAGCAAATGTTTCGGCAGAATCTGTCCAGTTAGCTGTTTGCCTTCTATGGGCAAAACATAGACCTGAGATGAAATCTGACCCGAAGCTAGCGAAAGAGCGTTGAAAGAGCTATCAAATACCTATGTTTTCTGCTTCACTGTAGCCCTTCTATTGGTGGGCTCCCAGTCGCTAACTTATAACGTATACTAAAGTAACGCTGATGTATGCTTTCGACCCCTGATCGATCTAGAGGTTTGCGGAAAAAAGAGCATGCTGCCCGTGACGAGAGAAAGCCGATGATACCCATTTACAAGGTTTCGGGTCATCTCAGGACTCAGGTCATCGCCAATACGTAGGGAAACTCGGGACCTGCTAGAACTTTGCGAATGTAAGTTGTGATGGTTTTTCGAGGTTCTGATTACGAATGTTATCTTAGTTTTGAACGAAGATGATGACTCCATGCATTTGGGGTAGATCAGGTCAGGTCAGGTCAGATCGACCAGTACCTAATAGTGGATGACCACCACCCATTGCTTCCTAACATGTTATACATATGTATAAGCAACACAACTACTTCTTAAATGTTCAGATGGGCGCTAAGTTCAAAATCAGCTCCAAAAACTATCCTTTACCTAAATTAAAAGCATGTTATGAAAAAGTGAACCAAGGTCATCTTTATTCGAATCAGGGATATCGATTTATTTTTAAGTAGGTGATTAACACGAGCGCACCGGAAGTTTCGTTGCAATCGGCTCCTTTTGCGCGACTTTTTTGCGAAAGCCCGAGACGGTTTCATCTGACTCCCTTTCCCCTACATGTGCACTGTACAGCTAGTTGTGCCGATAGCCATGGGGCTGAGGCTAGTTTGTAGTTTTGTAGTTAGGTACTGATCCGACGAATCGACTGCGACCATTTTTTTAAACGATCAGACGAACGCTCGGGGCAGTTTTGGCGCGTCCAATCCTTTGAGGGATAAAAAGGTACTAGAATGGTGGCCACTGGCCACTTAAAAATATTGTTGTGCTGGTGTTCCCCGCCCACAGCTAATTGAACTTTAGGTAATTGGCTAATTGGCTTTAGGGAGCTCTTGAAGCGATTCTGAATCTGATGTACTTGGTGGTGTTGCTGACGCCTGCTTCACTGACATAAAAGCTAAAAAAGCATACTCAGCATCGCAAAAAGTGGGGGGGTCGATACCCCCAGTTTTCAAGAGTGGGGGGGTCACGACCCCCCCGACCCCCCCGTCGGCGACGCCCCTGCCTCCCCCTATACGGGCGAGGGAAAAGCGCAACCAAAAAGACAAAAATATGCACATGCGATAACCTATACTGCGAAAAAAGGTGCATCATTTTTTAACGTCACCGACAAATTGTAATTACCCCAAGCTCAGGCAGATGTATGGTAGAAAATACCCCAACTGAAATACACTACGGCGAAAATAAAATACCCTACGGCGGAGCTCGGTTGCAATTTGTAAATACGCACTGGTATACTGTGCCGCCAGGCGTGGAAGTTCTAAAACTGATCGCTAGATGTCTATACCAGTGAACGCCTGAACTGCATGCTGTGCCGCCAGGCACTGGTAGTTCCCAGTCTGACCACTAGATGTTTATAGCGGTGAACGCCTGAACTGTATGCTGTGCCGCTAAGCACCAGATGACTATAGCAGTGAATGCCAGAACTGTATGCTGTGCCGCATTCTCCATCAGCACACGTTTAAAACAGCGTGATTGCGTCCTCCCTTCATTGTATCTAACGTGAAAAACTGAACTCATTCTACAGATGCCAAAAGAAAAAAAACGGTGCATATACGTTGAACGCCGAAATAGGCGGATATTCACCTTTCAGTTCCCATGGCAACCTCACGCCATGATATATTGCTCGAATGTTGTTCTGTGGCTACCATAGTTAATAACTTATCACGTCGTGTGGTGTCGTGTAACGTGTTCCTCGGCCTCCAGCGAGACCCTGCCTCCAGCTCCTCTGGTATGCCCTCCCCCCCCCCCGCCCCGTAACCGTCACCCTGGCGGACTGCCGTCGAACGGACGGCCCTCGCTCTGTGATACGCAGCGCAGCGCCTGAAACCAGTTCCAAATCGCCAAAATCGACTGAGGTGGTGATGCTACAATGTAGGGTAGTTCCCATGGACGGGGAAAGACTGAAACAATCTGCTGTGACAACTCACACAGCACCGCAAACATCGCCGCGCCAGCTCCGTCCCCGAGAGCCAGAGCCGTTAACCGCTAACGACTAGACTGGTGAGGGCACTATAGGCGGTGGTTTTACTGTCCACGACTCCTGTAGCCGATGATGATGATGATGATGATTGGGCCTGTAGCCCACTCCCCCAGAAACTACCTGTTAGTCGGGGACACTGTTCTCCCCACCTCGCTCTCCCGCCCGGCGTCCCACTGACAGAGATCACTGTCCTGCACCGATCCGTTGTGTATTTGGTCTCGGCACAGCGGCGCGGCGGAGAGGAGCGGGGCGGAATCAATCAACTGTCACTGGTCTCCACGTTCTCGGTGGAGAGGCCCTTGAACGACGGCACCGGCACGTACGTCACCAGGGTGTACAGCTTGTGCGGCGAGTCCTCGTCCTCGTTCCTCTTCCGGGCGAGCCGCACGCGGATCCTCTTGGCCACCGACCTGCCGACAGACCGCCGCACGTCAGTACGGCCGAAACACGCACGCACACCACACCGCACATCTCTGTACCACACCCGGTCAGACAGGGGACCTGGGGTCAGCGGGGCCGCGAACAGGCCCGCCTCTGCACCGGGTCCCGTCAGACACGGAAACTGGGGTCAGGGTGGATCGTGACAGGCATGTGCAACAAACGTGAGCCCCGCTTCTCAACACGCTTCCAACAAATAACACTCGTGTAAATATTAACAAAACAGCGAGAGCCTGCCTGAAGAGTCACCAATACTACCTAATTAACAAAAAAAAAAAAAAACTGCGCTACGGCGAAACGCAAAATCTGGTGGAAGTGAATAAGCTGCACTCTGAATAAATCCCGCAGCTACCATGCCGTTTGACAGACTAGCAGTTTTGGTGGCGCGGCGCCGTCCGATTCCCTGTGGGGCCGGCCGGGAGGGGCACGCGCCGGCCGCCCGGACGCGATTCGCGTCACGGCCCTGCCGCGATGGCGGCCATCCACCACTGCCGACAGCCCGGCGGCGGCCGGCCGCCCGGTGACCCGGGGGAGCGCGGCCGCCGACCGTCGGGACCCACAGGGCACGCACGCACCGAGCCGGGCCGTGCGTGCCCCGGAAACTGTCGGGGGCGCGGTCCCCGCTTCAGAGAAAACGCACCGTGACCGGTGGCGTGCAGCGGCGGCCTGTGACCCCTCGGTGCGGCTATTGAACACACCTCCGCAGATATTGCAACACCAGCGCCACTCGTAAATCAAACGGAGGCGCATAGAGGCTCGACAGGCCGATTGCATCACATCATGGACCGCGACAGACACCAACTTCACACCTAACGCGCGGCCTTTCAGACCCCATCAGTTCTGGTTACGGTGCGTACTGCGTATATCGATCTGCAAAGCAGTGTTTAATAATTAACTTGTATGAGACACGTCAGCGGAGGGAAAATCTACAGCTACGGCCCGCCCCACTCGCGTCATTTCTTTGACGGTAAAGGTTCAAACGCCTTAACCAAAACACTGCAGCTCACCGTGCCAGCAGTGGATACAATTATACGAAAATAGCAAAGCCAGTAGCAAAAACAAAACTGTCCATTTCCAGTGTTCGATCAGTCTTAATCAGAAGTGGAGGAGAAATCGGACGCCAAAATCGAGACGGCTAGCGTCTCTGGCCTCAGTTCATCGCCCGCCAGCGCTCAGCAACCACCATCCACTATCAATACACCACTGGATGGAGCTAACGGCAAACTTACACAAACGGTCGCAAATGGCAGCGGCACACTAATGGTAGCAATGAGGTAGCCCCACAAACCGTACCAAACTGTATACATTGACACAGACTACTGACTTACGGCCACGCAAGTGGTGACACGGCATTCAACTATCGGCTATGATTACCGATAAACAGGGATGGCCTGGTACCGTCGCACTGCGCAAATTTCTGTCCAGCCAGTGACATCCTCAGCACGCATAAAACATGCATCAAGGTATTCAGCAGCCGGAGAGTGGAAGATTGTTCAGTGCTCACGGATGAACAATGATTACCGATGGCCAAAGCACCACCCAGGCGGCCGGGAGCCGCAGCCAGCGTCCCGTCCGCTCGGCCAGCACAGCAGCCGTTCACGGTCCCTCGGAAGGGCGTCCGGCCGACACCTGGGCCCGCCCCTGACGGCCGACCGGCGCCACCGCCCGCGCGGGGCACTACCCGCGACTGTGACGGCCACAGACACTCGGCGGAGCGCCGCCGCGGCCGGGGCGGCCACCACGGGCGCCGCTCATCCCCGCCATCGACCCACGAGCGTGGCACCGGTCCTGCCGAGGTGACAATCCACTCCGGCGGCCCTTGAGCGGAATAGGACGCCTCCGCCCGGGCGGTCGACGCACCCGCGTGTTCCATCGTCGATCGGATCATCTCGCCCAGGGAGAGCGATATGGGACAGCCCCCACAGCTCACATACCCAGTTGCATTGCGAATAATTGTTTCCGGAGGAAGACAATGTTTATGGAGAAACCGTTCCCGGCGAAAAGCATCAGGTAATTTTTATTAATGAAATTAATCATTTACAATAACTCAGATCAAATTAAACTTTTGGCCATAACAACACTGTCAATGGCACAAATCCAAAGACATCCATGTAATTTTCGAGGTCTGAATACCGTCAGCCCGCCGCCGTCCGGCCGCTCGCTCGGCCCGCCGCGCCGGTTCACTCACCGAATGCCGCGGCTCCAGACCTGCTCGTTGAGCCGGTAGTCGATGCGCACATCCTGCGTGCCCATCTGCTGCATGGCAAACTTGCGGATCTCCTTGAGGGCGCGCGGCGCCTTCTTCTTGGAGCCAATGCGGTGCAGCCGCTTGTGGAGGTGGATCGTGTAGTCACGAGTGACCACCTCCGACATGGTCGACTTGGACTTCTCCTTCCTGTCCTTGGTCTTGGCCATCTGGGAACATACAACATTACATGTCACTAAACTTCATATCATATGATGATGTGTTTATCTATACTTCAAAATCCCTCAACCCAATTCCCACAAGGACATCACTAACAAGTTGACAACAAACAATGAAACACATATGCCGTTTTTTCAAAAAACAAATTTGCTCCAAGTACATTTTTTACTAAGCATGCATTTTAGCCAGTAAAAAGGGCAAAAAATGAACCTGAGAAAATTGAACAGCACCTAAGCTTAACATGTGAATTATTTCAGATTAATTCCATACGTCCCACAGCTCAGTTGGTAGAGCGTTGGATTCCCAAAAAAAGAAAGTCTGCGTTAAGCCTGAAACAGACTCTTTCCGCAGTCAGGAAATCGCATGCGAGAGCCTATTTAAATACATGGAAGCACGCTCGCATCAATCGCACGCACCTCCCGCAAGCAATTGAGGCGAGAAGAATTACAATATATTTGAATAGGCTCTCGTATGCGATTTCCTGACTGCGGAAAGAGTCTGTTTCAGCCTTTAGAGTCCTCCCGGCGCTGAATTTTTGACTCCTGACAGAGATGGTCTGTGGTTAGTAGGAGCAGCTGCAGCTAGTAGAAGTCAATTGAGTGGGACAGGCCATGTCCAGCTTTGAAGGGCACGTTTCACTCTGGCATCTAAATACTCATTACCCAGAATTGTGCGATTGGACGGTAGAGGTCGGGGTCTACGCAATAAGGCCTGCTTGGCGTGGGCTCCGGCTCTGTCAATCAATCCATTCAAACATTAGTACTATTCATAAAAAACATGCATTTTAGAACTAGATATTAGAGCTCTGGCATCTCTAAGTGATGTCATGCTATCAAACTTGCATTGCAATGTAGCATGATTAGGTCGGATTTGATGTCTCCCGGACGACAAAGATTCGATGTCATCCAGCCAATGGCATTCGAGATCGGTGGGGGCTGGGCCACGGCTATCAAATGGGATTGGCCACAAGACATAGAATCTACATCGCCCAGGAGACAGCTAACACACCCCTAGCTAGCATCAGGAATGACGATAGAAGATTTCCTAAAATTTGCTGACACTTTCTACCATTGTAGACATTGGATGCCAGCTGCCAGATATCATTATAGTATGCTCATTGTTTTAAGACAATGAGCCAAACGTTTACTGAGCACAATTTGAAATTGAATATTTTTGCGGTATGGTAGGTAGTAGGTACCTAACAGATTCTTGGCCAGATGCTGAAGTTAGCAAAACACATGCGAGAACTTTGATGATGAACTTGGAATCGAGCCACTTTCAAAGAAAACAAACAATTAGAGGGAATTTTTACACATTTATGCCTAGCAGAGGGAAATCAGGTTTTAATGCCAGTCCTAACATGGAGAAGCTCAAGAAACTGAGCTGCTATGGGCCTGTTCCAGCAGCTCCAGAATTCTCCAGAGCATTCCAGCACCTCAAAAAAGCTCCAGAAACCTCTCGTCAAAGCTCCAGAAACCCCCAGTAGCCTCCAGAGGGTTGGAAGGTCCACATTTCTCTAGAGGCTCTGGTCTACAATTATGACGCACATGTGACAATCACGAATGTAAACACTAAGGACTTTTGACTGCTTATTTTACAGCTTGAATGCAAAGAAAATTATATTGCTGTAATTAATCTTTCATACTAAAATTGAAATTTTGTGTTACAAGAGAGAACCATCGACATTCTTTTGGTATCTGTGACACCAACCCCCAGAAATCTCCTGAGCTCTGTTCGGTTGCTGTTTGTATATCAGTGTGCAGTCGGTTTTCCCCATATAAGGTAGTTATTGCTGGCGCTTCTTGGCCTCTCATTGGTCTAACGAATAGACCACTTGAATTTGACCAATGAGGAGCCAAGAAGTAGCAGCATGCTCGCAGCCTGCTGATAACTAAACTAAACGGGGGGGGGGGGGGGCAAACAGAGCCCAGATCACATCCCAGCACCTCCAGTGAAACCTCTGCTAGAGCCTTGGCCTCCAGTCAAAAATTTCTACTGAAGGACCTGGAACAGGCCACATGTCAGAGCACAGTGTTCTAAAATTGGATTTTGGTTGGGTGTGACGATGATGACCAAAAAATCTAGGATGAGAAAAAAACAAGTGAAAACCTATATCACTTTCGCAATAAAGACGTAACGCTACGCTGGCTGATAATAAAAGAACATACCATTCCTGACCACCAAAACTAACCGAAAAAGACGATGCAAATAGGTAAGGATGATCTACGGCAGAATTATAACTTTATCATCTGATCGCCAAGTGTTTCTAAATCCGTCCCATTTTATCCCAACCTTTGTGTTTGATTGAGACTAATGAAGTTAAGAATCACCCTTGTCTCTTACAGCTAAGAATGAATACCTACTTCAACCAGTGAGATTTCATTTTCCTCACAAGTCAAAATGCATTGTCAGAATTGAATGACTGTCCAGTGGCCATCCTTCTCCTAGCCTTAAATCAATGCCTTCCTTTCCATTTCAGATGCAGACAGCAGATATTACCGTCAGCATCTGCTAAGTTCCTACTCATGCTTACTGGCACGGATCCAGGACGGTCCTTCTGCCTGTATATTTCTCCTAAAGAAGATCATCCGCGGACCTCCATCCTCGCGACGCCAGTCACCATCATGCGAGCGAACTAGGTCTTTAAGAAGCAGAAGATGCAATGATTCTGTTGAAATATGTTGTCATATCTTAAGGAGGGTGGGGGAGGAGCGGGTGAGGGAGCTCTCCCTATATGCAGGCTTTGGTACTAGTGCCATGTGGAGAAATTTTCTTTCTTTTTTAAGCAAAGGAAGTGGGAAGGAACTTGTCGTTGCCGTTGCAAAGGGTATCATTCTGTCGTCCTGTATTATTGATTTAGTGCAGTTGACTCAGACTGTGTAATGCGTGAGGCGTGGTCATCACTGTGACACTGTCAGACATAAAATCTTAGGTAATCATGATACCCTGATGGGCAGATTGTTGACGTAACTGATCGCTATGAAACCAGAAACCGTATAACTCATGTGTTCTGGCCTCTGGGACGTTTTGCGCCTACAATATGGCAGCACCGCTTCCAAGATTACTGTATATTTGAGATAATATTTATGCGGCAATATAAGTATGTAGTTTTCGTTCGCATCTGATCTGGTAATATTCGTACAGTGTACACAGTATAGTTTTGAGCTTTCCATTTTCAACAGATATGACAATGGCCGGATGATACTGGAAATGGTGCCTTTGCTCTGAACACACGGAACGGGACGCAGTATTGAGTATGCAGTTGCAGTCGCGATATGCAGCATGACATACGCCGGAAATCTCCCCGCCCGAACGCCGGAACGGCCAGCGATAGTCGGTACTCATTACGCATAGTGAAAATGGAAACGGTGTCAGCGCAACTCTTCGAAAGGAACGGTGCACTAGGTACATGAGACTAGACAAAGGGTCACTGATTAGGGCACCCCAAACGGAACGATGTGCACTGCGCAGCGTAATATCAGTGATCAGTGATCAGAGCACCCGCAACAGAACGGAGGGCATCAGTGATCACTGATCAGAGCAACTGCAACGGAACGGAGGGCATCGCTGATCAGGACACCCCAAGCGGAAGGGAAAGCGAGAGCACAACTGACCAGAACACCCGAAACGGAATGGGAGTGAACGGAACGGAACGCATTAGCGGCTCGCCGAGTCGCGATTCCGGCCAAACATGGCCTCAAGAAATAGGTCACAGGTCAAAGGTCATTTGGGTCAGGAATATGAAATTTTCAGAATAGGTGTCAAATTAATTGACTCGAGGGTCCTGAAAGTTTCGTCGCGATCGGCCACTTTTTACGCGAGTTATTCTCGAAAAAAACGAGGGGGTGGGTGGTTCGTTCGACCCTCCCCCCCTATACGGGCGAGGGATAATTTATTAAAAAGCTAGGGCCTTCTTAATCCCATCTACCAGCTTCAGAACATGTATTGGGCAGATCTGGGAATACCGTATCTTAAATTTATCCCTAGAGGTGTGCCAAGGTATCCTTTCATTCATCCTGGCTTTCCCTCGGCCGAACGCTTCGTGTTTAAAAACCTTTAGAAACTAATTGAAATGAATAATTGGCGGTAAGATTATTGCAAAGGCATGAGAAATTAACGTAAAATACATCATTACCGTTTTTATAACCTCATTTCGCGTATGAAACCTGCCAGAGTCCAAAGAGTTTCATATTCATCCCTAGGGTGTGCCAGGGTGGCGTGTCAGTCATCTTGAACCCCTGCCCGACCCGACGCCTCGAGTTTTAAAGACATCTAAAAACTAATAACGTAAATAATTTGTGGTGAAATTGATATAATATGATCAGAAAATAACGCAGAATAAATTAGTATCGGTCTCAAAACATTATTTTGCCTATGAAACCAGCCAGAGCCCGCGGAGTTTTAAATTCATCCCTAGGGTGTGCGCCAGGGTGGCTTTTCTCATCTTGGACCTCTACCAGGCGCGACGCCTCGAGCTTTAAAGTCCTCTAGAAGCCATTGACGGACATAATTTGTGGCGAAATTAATGCGATAGGATCAGAAATAAACGCAGAATAAATTGGCATCGGTCTCAAAACATTATTTTACCTATGAAACCAGCCAGAGCCCGCGGAGTTTTAAATTCATCCCTAGGGTGTGCGCAGGGTGGCTTTTCTCATCTTGGACCTCTGCCAGGCCCGACGCATCGAGCTTTAAAGTCCTCTAGAAGCCATTGACGGACATAATTTGTGGTGAACTTGATACAATAGGATCAGAAATGAATGTAGAATAAGTTGGTATCTGTCTCATACCCCTCTTTTGTAAATGAAAAAAGTTAGAGCCCACCAAGTTTTAAATTCATCCCTAGGGTGTGCCAGGGTGTGCCCAGCTGACTGCGGGTCCAAAGATGAAAATTTTGTAGGCGTATCCTGCGTAACTTAGTCAAAAGCGAATTGCAGAGGTAGTGTTTAATTTGCGCAAGCAGCGGCTCATCCGTTTTGCGTTGGCAGCAAACCACTAATCATAGTTGTTATGAATATCCAAAAGCATTTATTCAGAACACAAGCCTGGTTTTTACAAACAGTTGAGGTGATCAAGGTCATTCAACGCATATTTGTTATTAACAGCTGGAAGTGTGCAAGGTTATTTTCTTTCGTTGTCAGTCAGGGTGAGTTGTTGGGTTTGTGCCTTGATTTAGCATCTTTTTTTTTCATGGAAATTATGTATTATGTAGCAAACCTGTAAGTTCTGTCTATATGGCGCTGCTAGGTATATCTGGTAATCTGGCTGTTAATTGTTGAGCAGCATGAGTTGAGCATTTTTCAAAGATGAAAGAATTCCAATTTACCTGGTTTTGGGGATGAAAATATTTTGCCCATTAGGTGTGATTTTCCACCCAAAATTTCCAAAAATGGAACACTGTCAGAGCAACACAATAATTTTAGACTTCGACCATGCAGACCAACGTTATCAGATAATAATCACACATACCATAGCAATGTACCTTAACAGCTAAACCGTGCCATACTATTTACTGGATTGTTTGCCAGGGCCCTATTTCATGGCAGAGTGCTGCAGTGCGCTGTGTGCGTCAGGTTTCCATGCCAATATTAACAAACTTCAGTTCACTCTGACCCTAAGCTATGGCGTTATCTAAAAAAATGCCAGTGCGCTGCGGCACCAGCAGCACACTAGCAGTATTCAAACTCAAACCTCTATTCTCTTTGCACCTGGCTGTTTAAGACCTCTGTTCCAAACGCGATTCATCATAAGCTAATGGATCACACGCAACGTCATTCGAGTGACATCAAGGGTATGCCTTAGCTCCCAGCACACTGGAGCGCACAGCGTAGGGCGGTGAAACAGGGCTCAGCTGGCGCTGCAGAGCTGGTCATAACTCATATCAACGCTAGATATAAACGACTAAATAGGTATCTATCTATTAACTTCTGAGTGCCATTTTATATGTTCATGTCCATCTACTAGGCACCGTGTTTATATCAATAAACGCCAAAGCTATCGTACGTCGCCAGCTGATTTTATCCAGTTGTCAGTATGCCCCGCTATACCGTGGAACTCAAACTGTAAACAAAACAAACTATAAATTGCTAGCTTGTACACTTGGGACACGTTAATCGATACATCTCATGATGCCTTGGGAGCGAACGAACAGACTGAAAGAAATAAACTTGCACATTACCATACAAAAAAAGACAAAAATAGGGAAAATGCTTCAATTAAATGGACATGCGACCTACCTTGACGAACGTAACGCGGAAAAGGACAAACGTAGTGGTGATAATTTATAAGCCATATTTGAGGGGAAATTTTATTATTTCTTTACAGTCTATTGATGATAAAGGGAAGCAAACGATCATTCGAAATTTCATTGATGTTGTTAATAAAATATTGATTTTAAAAGGAACACTCTTGCTTGCGCTTGCGAGAAGATGTTGAATCAAATACGCAGCTCTATGTAGTGTCGACAAATAGTATGCAGCTTATTCAAAAGCGGCGTAACTGCTTTGTTTACAAAATGCATAGGTAGGTATACCAAAATGATGTAGATGGACGTTGGACAAGTGAAAATCTTGAAATTTTAAGGTCCTGTACATGCGGTGCTTTGTTTTCTGTTACAATAAAGGAGCAGGTTAATCGAATGACTGTTGTATTTCATTTATGACGGGCGACGATGACTCCAGTATTACCGATAGGTACTTCCAACCAAATTCAAAATAAGGGCTGTGAAGTTGGAAGATTGACTTTCGGGGGAGGTAAACAGAGGGCACGTATTTTTAGACCAAGCCATCTTTTCTGAACGGCCACATTCGAAGGACATTCAGTTAATACCAAGGTTAAGTTTCTGACTTTTGTTAAAATTTCACTGTCAAAGCTTGCTGACGACTGACTTCGGAAAACTGAAAAAATTGAAAGTTCTTCAGAAATTATGCAATAATGCAAAGTAACACAATAGGTACTCCTCAGTAATTTATTTTTTACCCGAAAACGTTGATTTCAGGGTAGTTTCGGTGTGGGTTGCATCCGCTCATCTCCGGACTGAGTCCACTGAGAATTCAAAACTTTTACATCCACATGGCAATTTCAATTTGACAGGGATCTTTGACACAATCTGATGTGGTTGGTTGGTTTGGGTTCCACATCTGGTGGACTAAGGTGCTAATCGGAACTCTCACTGTCACGCTATTCCAAGCGGTCAGGCAGCAGCAATCTTGATGTGAGGATGCCTAGAGTGTGGATTTTAATGAGGTCTGCTGCACTATAATATGCTGGCACATAATTTGTCCAGGAAAATGGCATAATGATATCAGTTGGTGACATACCAGGGAAATAAGCTAAAATTAGAGCGCTCTATTTATTGCTCCTGCCCCATGTTGAAGAGATACCCCTAAAAGCGTGATCTTTTATCGGCCCTTACGCAGCAAGGCAGTAATTCTCAGACCGGTGGATGGTATCAATAGAAAGAGAATGCGTCAAAGATGAACATGAATTAATTAAAATAACATTAAAATGTTAATTAAGCGTGGAAATTAGTCCCAAACATAAGCTAATTGTTGCTCCTACCTCGGCGACGGCGCTCCCCGCAGTCAGCGGAGAAGCTAAAATAAAAGCCACCATCCTCCTCCGTAAGTCAATTTTAGAGCGGCCGAGTGGGCCGATGCGGGGCCACCAAACTGAGGTGAGACGTGGCTAGCAATTGCAAACCGCCATAGTAATCAATATCTTAAGACGTACAATATGGGATGATTACTCTGAAGCTGGAGTGAAAGCATGAGTAGATTGCAAGAAACGAAATGCATAGATTGGTTGAATTATGTACAAAAGGCACAGCTCAGATGAAGCCATTTCTATGATGTTGACATATGACATAACCCTTCCTCTCCTCACCTATGACATAAGTGCCACGGTATATAGAGAACTATAAGTGCATTGGCAGTTACCGGCATAGTTTTTTAGCACGAGTGTAATTCGCCATCGGACCGCAATGCATGTTGCTGCTAGGCTGCTGCAATTACAACGAGCATGCGAATACTGCCTTCATTTGTAGACGTTTGTTTTTTAGGCGGTCTTTGACGTGCAAGGGGGCACACCTGTCGACAACTTGAGTTTCTCCGAATTTCAAAAACTCCCAGAATTTCAATTCCTTATGCACTGTTGTAGGTACAGCTATGTTCACAAGTTTTTGTTTCCTCCTTTTCTAAAAAGGATGATATTTGTCGATTTCGTGCGTCGCTGATAGGAGGGTGCGATTAATAATTAGGCCCAACGCTTTCTGCATCCGCGAGTACCTTCAAAAGGGAAGAACAGTTTCCATTTATTACACTATGGGACATCTGACAAAATGACCACTGGAACACGCATGAAACGGAGCTCATACTCCTAAAAATGTCTACAATCACTTCTTTTCTGACACTATTAGCAAATACCATCTCAAGTTAGGTGGTTGACAGACAGTCAATGGAGATCTGGGGAGACTGAGTGATGCCAATTCACCACTTAACTGATAATGAGGGCCGAGGGAAGAGAAACATGCAACATGCACAACTGACAACTTGACAAGTGACAAAACACTACCACTATTGCGCAGTGCACAACAAAATACAGCAGCCAGCCCAAAAAATGTTTTGGTGGCTAATTGCAAAACAAGTCACTATAAATGTCTTAGTTGCAGCTGAACACTGCACAATAATCACACTGTTCAAACATTGAGTGAGATGCCACAGGTGGTTTGAATCACACTTTGGTTCAACAGCAAATCTGAAGTGTTGTCATGAGGTTCATGCCTCCATGATCACAGCACTTTGGTTGTGGTTGGCATAACTTGTAGTCTGCAGAGTTCCACATGAACTGCAGACACCTCATCTGGTGGTCTTCATGTTGCTCAACTTCTTCAGGAGGCAAATGTCGACCACCTAGCGGAGGCATGGTCCTGCAGAAAAGAAAGGTAATGCATAAGGTACAAACATTATCTGCTGAAACAGCCCCTTCTGTTGGCTGTTATTAAACTTTTAACATAACATAACAACATGTATTACATGTATATTACATTTGTTGAAGTAAGATACTGCTGGCTATTTCAAAACCAGAAAATGAAATTATATTGTGGCATAATTCACATGCTCAGCTATCAGTATCAAATAATAATTAATTTAATATTTGGCACATTCTATATAACACATTCATAGAATATTCTACTTCACGTCACAGGGACTCACAATCTTTCTATTGGGTGTTTGATTGACGCATTAACTAAGTTTGTCTTAGGTTTTATTATTGCAAAAAATTCATATTGCATTATTGTATCAAAATACTGCCAGCAATAACAAAACAAGAACATGAAATGTCAATGAGCAAGCCGCCTTTCCTAAAAATGGATTAATTTGAAAGGAATTTTAGTTTCTTTTAAGGAAAAGGAGAAATTATTAGCAGGTAATTATCAGAAAACCACTCAACCAGCAAGTGGCTGGGTGGTTTCACAGCAAACATCAAGCCAAAACATATACTTACATTTATCTAACAATTGAGCCATTGACTACTACAAGGATATGTGAGCAAAATATGAATCCAATTATCCAATGTTGACTTCCTTGCAAAGTTTATGCCCTATTTTATGAAAATGTGTCACTAGAATATGATACTTATCATCGAATATTATTTAATTTACGATTTATTTCGATCGGAATGCACATGGAGTCCCGCGCCATTTTCGTCGACGATGAATATGATCGTGTTTCATGAAGGGATAAGGGGTTTCAATGGTCTTTCAAAGCAATAATTTAATGCAAAAATTTGTAGGAAATAATATAAAGCTGGTTCAAATGGCCATCAACCATTTAAAACACCGAAAATACTCACAACTCCGTCCCCACCACCACGCAGCACCGCGCATGCCACACTACTGGCAAAATGCCAAAACTGCTGTCACAGCGGAAATGTTTTTTTTCTCGATTGCAATTGTGGAATTATTTATTAAACAGAAGATGATCTTTCCGAAAAACCGACTGATTTCATACACAGATGCATGGAAAATAAAAAAATCCCGGTAAGTTTATTTGTATTGTTTTGTCGATTTTGACATCCTCCTAGTTTGCAGCCATATTTCGATATGTTCTACAGGGAGTTCAGAATTATTTCAGGACCAATCTTTTCCTCATTCATTTTCCCGTCGATCATGAAATTTTTAGAGCGGAACAATTAGTTTCCAGGCGGTCCGAGCGGTTTTCGTGAGAAGGGTGCAAAAATCGGCGTCATTTTTAGAGCCTCGACACCAGCTCAACACAGGACCCTATGGGAGACGGTGAAGTAGCGGAAGCAATAAATAGAGCGCTCTAATTTTAGCTTATTTCCCTGTAGTGTCACCGACTGATATGATTGATTCAGTAGGTTCAGTCAGGAAGGCATCAGTAGGTGCCAGGTGGGCTTAATTTTGATGATACAACTTAATTTTTAGTGCAGATCTGACATCTAATGGAAATTATTGACTGATGAGGGTAGTGCAGATTTCCGGCTCATCTGGTGTGGATTTGTCATCCCAGCAAAATATGCATCTGTTGGCTGTTGCTGGTCAACTTGCCATGTTTGGCAGTCTTGCTCCACCTGAGCATGCCCAGTGTTTTTATATACCTTGGCATGCCCATGACACTGACAGGCAAGCCAGGCTCACATTCCAGTACTGTGGCAGATATCTGGTGTTTGGCATGCATCAAGTGTTTGCTTTTTATTTCCAGTATGTTTGTCAAATTTTGCATGTGTAATGTAACTGCAAGATGGTAATTCAATGCATCTTACAGTCAGATGCATATTCCTGTCAGTAGGTTCCTTGTGTCTGAACATTGGCACTATCCCCTCCACTGACCTGTTGTGGGCACCCTCTTACAGTGAGCCCTGGCCGCGCCGTCGCCGGCCGGCATGGTACACACGCGTGGCCAGCCGCGGTTCACGGAGGGCGAGCGCGTGCTCTGCTACGAGCCCGACACCAGCAAGGCGCAGGTGCTCTACGAGGCCAAGGTAGGGAGACGTCAGGAGTCGGGGCTAGATCCCGGGCAGCAAGGGGAGGGTAGGGGAGGCACAAACTGAAGCTAAAGGGGAGTCCCAGTGAACGATGATTGATAAATACCATGCATAACTATAAGGCTTCTATCGGTTGAATGGAGCGTCTGTTGATTCTATTTACTAAGTCATAATGATATTTTTTCGCTTACCTGCATACTGTGGTAAAGCTTTGCCTTTAAGCGTGATTTCAAAATACTACACTTTGGGATTATTTTTTCACTAGCGCCCGCGCCGGCGGGACGGCTATTCACAGGTGCTGGAGGTTGCGGAGAGGAGGGACAGGAATGGACGGCGAACGATTGAGTGCCTGGTGCATTTTCAGGTCAGTATGCGGCCGCCCGACGTAAGTCGCTCAGTATTTGCGCTCTCTGTGTTCACCGGGGAGCGGTTTGTAGGAGGCTGTGTTTCCAATGGCCGGAGTGTACCCGACTGCAGCTGACGGCGGCTGTCCGGACGGCAGGGCTGGAATTCGGGCTGGGACCGGTACGTAGCCGAGGACCAAATCCTGGAGTACAGCGAGGCCAACCGGCGGCTGCAACGCTCGCTCGCCGAGAGGTTCCTGCCGCCCGGGTGAGTAGCCCGCCCCTGGGGAGTGGGATACCCGTCTCAAGCCGCGTACACAGACCTTGAAATGAATGTGTGACATTTATGCAGATGGTTTATATTGTTTTTAGCTTAACGGTAAAACAACATCTTTGATTTTGTCTATTAGATTTATATTTAATTGAATTGCGCATATTTTAGTTTGCGCCAGCTTATAAGAGCGTGGGTGAATGTCGCTCGGCCGATCGTTTGGCTGGTGGTGGCTCAGGTAATTGGTCGCAGCTCCTGCCCTCTGCTCGATGACCCTCGGCCGCGGCCGCCGGTAGCCGAGACACCCGTCGCGGGGGACGCTAACAGTCCGTAGTGTGACGCCCGGCTCGGCCCAGTCCGAGAACGGCTCGGCGGCAGAGTGGGCCGGGAGGCGCCAGGCGCCGAATTAGCGTCCGAGTGTATGCTTTATGCTCTGCTGTGACACGCCGTAATCAGATCATCGGCACGTGCGTAATTTCCCGAGGGCGCCGCCGGGCCGCCACTGCAGTCGGGTGCCACCGGTCCCGGGGCAGGAGAGCCGACCAAAGGCGCGGCGTCCACTCACCCGAGTCACCGCCGCCGGGTAATCGGTCAGGGATGATACCGCCGGTAAGTCGGTCAGTGGCCTTTACCGCCGGGTAATCGGTCAGGGATGATACCGCCGGTAAGTCGGTCAGTGGCCTTTACCGCCGGGGAGTCGAACGGTCGTAATGCTTTTCATTGTTATGTTTTGCAAGCTGCTGCTTCGGGCCGTTTATAATTTTCCGTTTCTGGCATTACGTTGTTATCCTTTGAGATCATTCGGGGTCACTTCAGTGACCTTTAATAGATAATTTAATGCCTACTGCTTGCATTCTGCATAGTCTATTTTGTGACTTATTTTTGTGCATTGTTTTAAATGTCATTTCGTCTTCATGAGAGTCATTTTATCTTGTGTTGCTTTCTCCAGAGACTGTTCACATTCTTCCAGTGTCAGCGTTCTGAGACGATCCTCCATTTTTAGCTAGATGACATTCATAACGTCACCCCTTGGTGCCTATGACGTCATCCTCGGGCGTGTTTCGGATTGGCTGTCACTGTGCCCCGCTGTGCGCAGGGTCTAATAACTCGCTGACCGGCATAGTTTCTGTCCTTGGAGGTCGCCCAGGATCGGAGCAGGTGGGGTGCACCTTTATTGGCCCCCCACTGCGGCTTCGTTAGTCGATTTGGTGCGTGGATCTCCACCAATCCGTCCGTCTCTGTAAAACTTTGTCAGCTCCTGTTCAGCGCCGCTTCCGGCCAACATTACACTTCACCAGTCGTGCGTCACGAACATTGAGACGATGACGCGTGCAACGGTGTACTGTAACTGTTCTATGACTTTGTCGCTGTGTGTGCGTTTCTTCGTGACTCATTTCTGTTCAAATGACGCTTATGCTTAGTAGGTCGGCTCTCTCGGCTCGATTCCAGTAGAAATATGCACACTGCGCTGGTAGGGTCGCTCACACCGCGCTCGTCAGGCCCAAGTTCTCTCCATGTATCGAAACCGGTGATGCTGAATTATCATTGCAAATTAAATGTCTATTGAAAAGCAATGAACGTTGAAATCGCAACAAGGAACATCCAATTTGTTATATGCATGTTGTATTATCATTTTGTCTTCCTCGGATCTCATCACATTTGCCATAGGATGTCTCACCGTTGTTTTAGACTTTACACTACGGCGTAGCTAAGTATATGCCGTTTTCCGAAGAAGTTGTGAAGTCAGTTTTGATTGGCGCTGTTTGGCGCGCCACTGAGTGTAGGGGACTGGAGGTGGGGTCGGGAGACGGGTCGACCGGTATCCCAGTGGACCGCGCGAACATGGCCCCATAGCCAGCGTCACCGACCAAAGCTTACTGGCCGCAACGGGGCTGAGAGCCCTACCTGCCGTATAGGTGCGACAATAGGTAAAAACTGTGCAGAAGGTGCACAAGGTTGTATTAGTGACTACTTTCGCTCCATTAATAACATTAATTCCGTCACTCGTTTGATTTTATATTGGCTATCCCATTATCCACGGCCGGCGGCTGATCCCACTCGGTGCAGCGGGGATGCAGTACGTGTATGTTACTTAACCCTATTAGTGGCAGGCTCCTGGCTACCCCATATTAGTGGCAGGGGGGGGGGCTGTTTACGACCCCCCTTGATATCTCGAGATCTAACCGGCCGATTTTCAAAATTCAAACGGCATTCGATTTGGCTCAACGAGATCTACATTTCTAAAAAAAAGTAAAATTAAAAAATGTCAATAGGGGGGTAGAGGGGGGTAAAAACGGGCAAATTGCAGATACATTTTAGACTGTTTATCACGGCCAGGTTTCTGAACCAATCTTAAAGCAACTTTTGCCGATCGATAGAGAATGAACCAGGAATTCACATGGATCCTAAAAATATGCATTTTCAAAAATCATAGGCGGATACAGATCATTGAGATTGGGGGTACACAAAAAGTATAGTAAATAAGGTTTTTATTGGTACTGTTTCTAAAAAGGGTGGCAATGGTCTTGTTATGTTACAATTTTCTTATGAGAGAACGACTAAAATTGTATTGGTCATGCATAGGCGGTGTCAGGGCACCTATGTTGGGAGGTAAAAAATAACCCCCCTTTTTGGACGCCTGGATCCGCCTATTATAGCAAAAACGTGTCAAAAGAGGATGCACAATAACTTTGTATATGTTATCACATGATACCTTTCATTCACTGTTCGTAAAACTGGTGCAGCATCGTGATCTTCGCCCAAATGACTCGCTTCACGAATAGGACCCCCAATTCCCAGTGCTCTGGAGCCGCCCCTGGTAAAGTTATGAACTTGAAATTTTCAGGGAATGTGCCCAATTTAGTTTTAGGAAAAGTCAGAAAATTTCAGCATCGTAGCTTCAGCGGTTTCGGAGATATTCCCGAAAAACCTGAGGGGTGGATAAAAACAACCCCCCCCCCTGCCACTAATAGGGGTAAATATCCCACCACCTGCCCGCAATAACACAACTTCGGCGTACCGCGCGGGCCGCCCTCACAGCCAGTGGCGGCGTTACCTTGCCATTGTTTCATTGAATTGTCTATGGCGCTGGTCACAATCTACCTATTTATAGACTGGTTGATGTTTGGGATTCGCCGACCTCGCCTTGAGTATTTGCGCACTCTTTCTGAAAGTTTTTGCTTTGATGACTTGCTGGCTATGCTGGCAGTGTTAAGTGCTTCTTATGTATATGGTGACGGACCTGAACCGACAAGCCATCAGCCTGACTGACCTACGGCTGTCCCCAGTCTGGTCCGACAGAGGTTCCCGGCTGAACTCGGTCAGACCCACGACTGACCTATCTGACCCCTACCTGACCCTTGCTGACGTGACTTTTATCTGACCCCGTTCTGACCCGCCCAGAGTGGTGAACCGGCGCCGATACAATGTACCCGCCCTGACCCCGTTCTGACCCCGTGTTGACCCCGTTCTGACCCGCCCAGGGTGGTGGACCGGCGCCGGTACAGTGTACCCGCCCTGACCCCTATCTGACCCGCCCTGACCCCGCTCTGACCCCTAGCTGACCCGTGTTGACCCCGTGCTGACCCGCCCAGGGTGGTGGACCGGCGCCGGTACAGTGTACCCGCTCTGAACCCTATCTGACCCGCCCTGACCCCGTTCTGACCCGTGCTGACCCGCCCAGGGTGGTGGACCGGCGCCGGTACAGTGTACCCGCCCTGACCCCGTTCTGACCCCGTGTTGACCCCACTCTGACCCCGCTCTGACCCCGCTCTGACCCCGTTCTGACCCCGTGTTGACCCCGCTCTGACCCCGTTCTGACCCCGTTCTGACCCGCCCAGGGTGGTGGACCGGCGCCGGTACAGCGCCGCCGACAGCCAGCACTCGTCGACGGGCGGCTGCTCGGCGCCGCCCTCGGAGGTCGCGAGCGGAGACGAGTCCGAGGACGAGGCGGTCTCGCCGGCCGCCGCGCACGTCGAGATGCCGGCCGCGCTGCGCCGCCGGCTCGACGACGACTACTACTACGTCAACAAGTACCACAAGGTGCGTGCTGAGTGGGCGGGGCGCGGCGGCCGGCAGCGCTGGAGATGTGGCGCGGGATGGGGGAGATGGTGATACCCGGTGATGCCCAATGACAGAGGATGGCTCGCCGCGATGCATAGGCCGCGTTGTGTTTGGCGCACACCGCCAAAGGAGCCAAACAAGGCAGCTATCAGTTGTTATGGTCCTCACCACCCAACACCGTACGCAAGCCGTTACCGTTTTCGCTAACCGGCTTGCTTTTCGTGGCCGCAGTCGTTAGTCAGTTTCTCGGTAGTTTGATCCGGATAGAACGGTGGCGGATCTGTCCTCCGGTTCATTGGATCCGACGATGCAGTTAATTACTCCGGGCGACGGTGACCGGCATTTCGACTGATTGCCGTACCCTGCAAGGCCGAGGCTATTATTGTGCTGCGTCGGAGAGAAGAGAGACGCCTCACCGGCGTACTTGCGAAGGGCACCTGCCTAAAGCAGACAATCGCCAAATCTTTTGATTTTAGATTACGACTTATAAAGTTTTTTTTTGCCGGTCATGATTGCTATTTTAGATTGAAAAAACAAAACAAAATTGTCTATCAACGACTCAGAAGTTGAGTTCACTTGACTTGAAGTTCAGTCCTTCCTTGGCCATTCCCATTCGGTCACCGGAATTTAATAGGATATCACTGAGTGTGTCTAACGGCGCTTTTTACTGCGGGAGCTCCCCGCCGACGCGAGCATTTGTCACTGTTTGTGGCATCGCCGGCTACATTTGCTGAAAATGGTTAGATGTAGCGAGTCCCGGCCCCCGGTGGGGAGGGGGTCGCTCTGCCGCGGCACCGCAGCCGTCAGTCACCGTCGCCGATACGCCGGAGGGCGCGGAGCCGCCGTCGGAAATGGAGGCGGAGTGACGCCTTTCCGTCGGCTCTGTGAAAGTGGCCGGGTATCGGGAATGTGCGGATTCGCGAGCAGCCCGCCGGTGCCCCCCCCCCCTTCTCCTCCCCTGCAGCTCATACCGAACTGATGCAGGCGGGCGCTAGTGTTAAACAGGCGTCTTTCCCGGGCATTGCGTCATTGGAGAGACGAGTTCTTAGCGATTTTGTTTTTTGTCTGCATCATTTTCCCGTTGCACTTAAAAAGCGGCATTACGACAAATAATATTATTGTCGCTGTTAAATGCCCATCACTGCACCTCTCCTAGCCTTCCCCCGTATCCCCTCCTAGTCTTCACGGTTATCCGATCGGGCGTGTTAGTTTAGTCAGATTTCAGCCGGCGCCGACCTAGTCGCCGTCCATTGGCGAGTTTTGATCAGATGCGTGGGACGCCTACCCACCGACAGATCCGCCGGTCTGGCGGTGGTCGGGGCGGGGCGGCCCGGTTTCGCTCCCCAGGGCTGGCCGGCCCGGTTGTGACAATCGCTGGACCGTGTCCGTCGCCGCCCCCTGCCTCCGTGTGCCGCCACTGGGCCTCCCTCGTTAGCAAGTTGTCCACAGTCACCGGAGGGTGGCTTCCGGGCCCGACGAGCCCGGCAACAGAGTCCCAGAGAACCGGATTAAACCGACACTGGGATGTCGAGCGGGCTTAGACGATGGAAATCAGTTGGAGACGAGGGTTTCGTGCAATGTATTTCTACGGGCCCTGCCGAGCAAACCATTTGATTTAATTGGAGCTTCGACGGTGCTTTGATATTTGTGATGCCGGCTCCTTACGATGTTCAGGAAGTCAGTCCGTTCTACCGTAGGTATAACCCCGTGCCAGTCTTCATTGGTGAATACTGAATATTCTGTAAGGCTAAAGATAAAAAAGGGAATTTCCTATACAAGTTTTAGACCCGAACATAACCCCATAGGATGTGATATGCATTTATTTATTTGTGTGAATAGGCAATGAGCTGTGTAAATACACGAGCATGTACAATTTGAAGGCGTTAAGGCCTGGCTACACTATGCGTTTTCTGCGTGCGTTTTTTGCGTGTTTGCGGGTTTTGCGCGATATCGTTCTAGAAAAATAAACGATATCATGTTTTGTGATGTTTTTTATATTCAATTGTAGTTAATATAAGAGTTATATTAACTTCTGTATATAACTAGTGTAAAAATTATATTATTTTTTACTTTTTTCTAGAACGATATTAGGCAAAAAACGCAAACCCGCAAAAAACGCACGCAGAAAACGCATAGTGTAGCCAGGCCTTTACTCGCCTCTTTCTTTGCATCATTTGGAACATTACCTCACGCTCGACGTGTTCCTGCCCTCCCCGTCCGCTGGCGTGCCACTAGGCCCGGCCGCGGAGTACGATACAGCTGTCACCGCCGGCCGTCAGCGCCAGACCCGGCCATCAGCCCGGCGGAGCGCTCCGTTTTGATGTGCCGGGAGATAAATGATTCGCCGCTCGCTTTCAGCTATGGGTCACCGGCGCCTTTGTGGTGTTAAGCCGACCATAGGTCACAATCGGGTGGCCCCGACAGAGGTCAGCGTTTGTAGTAGCTGACCGATGGATTTGGACACCGGCCGGCCGTGCCGAGTGCTACGTCAGGCTGTGACGACTGTTACGTCAGACTGTGATGTCCGTTACATCAGGCTGTGGCGACTGTTACGTCAGACTGTGATGTCCGTTACATCAGGCTGTGGCGACTGTTACGTCAGGCTGTGATGTCCGTTACATCAGGCTGTGGCGACTGTTACGTCAGGCTGTAACACCTGTTCTGTCTGGTGTGACCCCCCTCTGTCCCCCCCCCTCCCCCAGCTGCCGCAGCTGCCGTGTGAGCCGACCGTGGTGGCCGTCCTCGAAGCGTACGTCCAGCACTGGCAGCAGACGGGCAGCCGGCGCCCCTCCACCGGCGGCCGCGGCAAGAGCCGGGACCCCGACTGGGAGGTCAGCGCGCGCAGGTCAGTGACAAGACCCCGACTGGGAGGTCAGCGCGCGCAGGTCAGTGACAAGATCCCGACTGGGTGAGGGACGGGACCCCGACTGGGAGGTCAGCGCGCGCAGGTCAGTGACAAGATCCCGACTGGGTGAGGGACGGGACCCCGACTGGGAGGTCAGCGCGCGCAGGTCAGTGACAAAATCCCGACTGGGAGGTCAGCGCGCGCAGGTCAGTGACAAGATCCCGACTGGGTGAGGGACGGGACCCCGACTGGGAGGTCAGCGCGCGCAGGTCAGTGACCCCGACTGGGTAACGGGACCTCGACTGGGAGGTCAGCGCGCGCAGGTCAGTGACAAGATCTCGACTGGGAGGGACGGGACCCCGACTGGGAGGACAGCGCGAGCAGGTCAGTGACGGTACCCCGGCTGGGTGAGGGACGGGACCCCGACTGGGAGGTCAGCGCGCGCAGGTCAGTGACAAGATCCCGCCTGGGAGGTCAGCACGCGCAGGTCAGTGACAAGATCCCGACTGGGTGAGGGACGGGACCCCGACTGGGAGGTCAGCACGCGCAGGTCAGTGACAAGATCCCGACTGGGTGAGGGACGGGACCCCGACTGGGAGGTCAGCGCGCGCAGGTCAGTGACAAGATCCCGACTGGGAGGTCAGCGCGCGCAGGTCAGTGACAAGATCCCGACTGGGTGAGGGACGGGACCCCGACTGGGAGGTCAGCGCGCGCAGGTCAGTGACCCCGACTGGGTAACGGGACCTCGACTGGGAGGTCAGCGCGCGCAGGTCAGTGACAAGATCTCGACTGGGAGGGACGGGACCCCGACTGGGAGGTCAGCGCGAGCAGGTCAGTGACGGTACCCCGGCTGGGTGAGGGACGGGACCCCGACTGGGAGGTCAGCGCGCGCAGGTCAGTGACAAGATCTCGACTGGGAGGGACGGGACCCCGACTGGGAGGTCAGCGCGAGCAGGTCAGTGACGGTACCCCGGCTGGGTGAGGGACGGGACCCCGACTAGGAGGTCAGCGCGCGAAGATCGGTGACCCCGACTGGGAGGGACGGGACCCCGACTGGGAGGTCAGCGCGCGCAAGTCAGTGACGGTACCCCGACTGGGAGGGACGGTACCCCGACTGGGAGGGACGGGACCCCGACTGGGAGGGACGGTACCCCGACTGGGAGGGACGGGACCCCGACTGGGAGGGAGGTCAGCGCGCGCAGGTCTGAGGTCTGTGACGGTACCCCGACTGGGAGGTCAGCGCGCGCAGGTCAGTGACCCCGACTGGGTGAGGGACGGGACCCCGACTGGGAGGTCAGCACGCGAAGATCAGTGACCCCGACTGGTTGAGGGACGGGGCCCCGACTGGGAGGGACCGGACCTCTGGTGAGGGACGGGTCTCCGACTGGGAGGTCAGCGCGCGCACCTGAGAGTCTGAGCAAAGGAAGCGGGCTGCGGATATCTAACAAGGGAGAGAGACATTGAAATGGGTGACCTAAAAGTCAATGTCTCACTGACTTATGGACCTCATATTTTTTGTCTCTTCAGAACTTATTCTTTGGATATTTTTATTCCGTACTTTTTTACCTGATATTTGTGTGCCGTAGTTGAGCATTACCGGACAGGTCACATGACACCGGGTTCCGGAACGCTCCATATCGGAAGGAGCCGCGGCGTGTCACCCAATTTCAGCCGGACATCCTGTCTTGCGCAACGTTTCTCATTTGACCGGGCTATCATGTTCCATGCCCGTGGGCTATATTGAACTCAATTGGGCGCTGTACCATTGATCACATTCAGCTGACACTGGTGCGGACGTATGACGGATACTTTTCTCCGGCGACGCTGGTGAATCTCTGTTATATGTATTGTTATTTAACTCTGCGATCCTAGCTGGCCAAGGAAAGGTACCGATTATGTCCAATACTGCACTGATGTTGTAAACATTCACCGCGCGGGCATATGCCTGTTCGGAACATCCAATGCCTCAACCACGTTCAAAGTCACTCATCTTGCGCTTAATAAGCGCCTCTTCCTTACGCTTAGTCCTCACCGCTCAATGAAAAACACAAACAAAATCACATATTAGGTGCTTTACCTAGCGAGAAACTCAAACAGCCTTTAGGAACAGCAGAGCGCAGCGCCCGTTCACTGTGACCGCTCGCAGCCCGCCTTGTGTGCTGATGTCTCAATGGCCTTCCGCTGCCGTTCAGCACACGTGTCAATGGCCTTCCCCTGCCGTTCAACACGCGTACACACACAGCGACTGATTGGAGCTGGTCGGGTGCTCCGGTGTATGCAGTGGAGTGCCGCGGCGCACAGGAGGTGCCGGGGACACGGATTTGGCGTCCCGAACTCCGCGCTAACAAGCCGGCACTGGAGGCGCTCATTGATACTGCGCTCGGACGGGGTCCGATTATTATCGGCCGCTGTTGTGAGCGATGCTGCCGCACTGTCGGCTCGGCGGATAGGACACCTTTGACTGGCCGATATAGGTGAAAAGGTGTCTCAGCAGGGCACCGACTGCGTCCTGCTGTGACAAATGCACACGGCACACGCTTATGTAATATCTGCATTGTACACTTCTTGTGCTCGAGTGTGTTCGCTTTTTCGTTTGCGCATGTGTTGGTTTGGTAGAGTGGTTGTGTGTTTTGTGTTGTTCATATGCGTTTTATTTTTAACATAACGATTCTGTCATTTGATTGGGAAGCAGTTCTATATTTGGAAAAAGTGAGTTTGTTGAATAATGGAGATACTTTCCTTGTCATCGTACCTGGAAGACAGTTTGCCACATGACACAGAGTCCTCGTCCCTGGAATGTGAGAGCTCACATTGATTTCGTCATTTCATTTCGACATTGTTCCCATAGATTAATTGTTGCTCGGAGCGGGCGTCTCGCCGCTCGTTTGCTCGTTATCGGCGCCGGCGCCGCGTCTCCTGCGGCCCAATTATGCCGGGACAGAAACCAACCCTTGTATTCTGATCAGCAATCATTAGAAGCGCAGGGATCGACCGGCGGGCCGCCCGCCCGCGGACGGGGACCGAACACTGACACTGCCGCGCCGGTGCCCTGTTCCAGTCTGAATCTCTGCAAGGAGGTGGTGGACGGCCTGCGGATCACCTTTGATCACGTGCTGGAACTTCAGCTTCTGTACGCGGCCGAGAGGGAGCAGCACGGTCGGCTGCTGCGGCCCGCCTCGCCGGCCAGTGACGGGCCGGCGCGCACCCGGCACGCCTCGGCCCGCTCGGACCGCACCGGTGAGGATGAGCTGGAGACGGCAGTCGCGGCAGCGGAACCCCAGAGGCGGCGCTCACTGCCCTGTCCAGCAGCCGCCGAGCTCTCGACGTTATAACTGCCTCCGGAAAAAGAAATAAAGCTTCACGATTATCACATGATTATCACAGCTAGGTGTATGTATTACATTAACTACAGCAAAGTACGTATCTTTGCGTTGTTGAAGCGCCTATATTCGATAGCACGGCATTCGGTGCCGGTCGTCCTGGCTCGACCTCCTCATCGCCCCCGCCCCCCCCCCCCCCGCTACTGAGCACGATGGGTGCCGGGCCCGGCTCGCCCCCCCCCCCCCCCCCCCCGCCCCGGCCGCTGACTCGACTCTGCCGTCCCGCAGACGAGTCGGCGTCCCGGATGACTCTGCGCTCGCGCCGGCCCACGCGTGACTCTGAGTCAACTGAGCGGGAGTGCGCCGCCAGCTCGGGCGACGAGCAGCCGGACTCCAAACGCAGGTGAGCCGTGAGCTAACCGCTGAGCTCCCTCTGCAGCACTCGTGGGCTAACGGGCCGTGAGCTAACCGCTGAGCTCAGCCTGCAGCGGCCGTGAGCTATCGGGCAGCGAGCCGGGATTGATGAAATTTTGGCTTGCGGGTTTTCAGATCGGGTTCTATTTCCGCGACTTTCCCGATTCATCCGCTCACTGCAGTGGTGCCTCAGCGATATTGGCTACACCAGTTGAAATCGCCGTGCCTGTCCACTGTCCGGGAGCCGTGGCTCGGCTGACACGCGCCCCCCGTCCGCAGGCCGTTCAGCGTGGAGTCGACCGAATCGGCGCGCGCGCGCTGGTCGCTGCTGCCACCTGGCGAGCTGTCGAGGAGTCCGCCGCTGCCGTGCTGCGTGTACGGGGCCATCCACCTGCTGCGTCTGATGGGTGAGCAATCGGTACCGAGTACCGAGTACCGAGTACAGGCCCGGGCACGGTACCGGTACTAAATACAGGGGGTCGCCACCTGCTGCGGCTAATGGTACTGGGGCGCCTATTTTCGGATGAAAGGAGACAAGGTTTGCCGGTAGCGCCAAACAAAGTAAATGATTCCTAAGTGAGACATGGGAACATTATTCGACGCTTCTTTTTTATTTACTACATGTTTTTTATATAAACGACTTAAATATCAACAAACACGGTATACAAAAGTGGGTTATAAGAATGATCACAATTATGAAAGACCGAATACAAAAGCCGATGTCATATGAGCTCGATATACTGGACACTATAGGCTCTGCTCTTCCCATTCACCAGTGTATCACTGCATCAGTCCGGTATGGTCTCCCATACACTGTTGCGCCGCTCGGTCTCAGAGTCGGCGCCTGGCCGCCCCTGGGCCGCCCGGCCGCCGCCGCCGGCCGGTCCGCCGCGCCCCCTGTGCCGGCCGCCGCTCCCCGGCACCGCTCCGATCCCGGCCCCGCCCCGGCGGCGGCGGCGGCGGCCACCGGACAGCTTTGGCTGCGGCGCGGCGGCCACGGGCGGCTCGACGGCGGCGCACACCCAGGCCACGGTGACGGTCTTTTGCATGAGCTCGCCGCGGTGCCGGTAGTCGACGTTCCAGCGCAGCGGCTGACACCGGCGGCCGGCGCCGCACGGCGACCTCTCGCGGTCGGCGGCCACCTGGATGGTGACCGGGTGGCCGTCGATGTCGAACTCTTGCTCCTGCTGCTGGAAGGCGCAGACGGCGCGATCCGGGGCGCTCGTCGAGCCGGCCACTAGAGGTGTCAATTTCAGAAATTTCTTGTCCGATGTCCGTCCAATGTCCAAAATCCTAGCTCACTTTTGTCCGAAAAATGTCCAAAGCATGGATTTTTCCGAAAAATGTCCGAAAGCTGGATATGGAAAGAGAGGATGGTAGAATTGATCTATATTAGGTACATGTTTGTATGTACCACATGATAACTAGAATAACATATCCGCCACCTGGTTCTGAGTGCAAAATATTGCAAACTAAAAATGTTGAAGCAATATCATATGCAATACTGGGAATGGGCATTTGGGCAATAGGCCTAATCTGATATACAACACAAACAGCATATTGAGACAAGCCTATTCTGCTTCAAAATGTGCTACAGCCTACAACTGAAGCTGAGTAAGCAAGAATAATGCAAAACATTGCATTATCCCTCAAATTTGCGTTCTCAAAAAGGTATTGACTTCTTGCCACACCCCTTTGACACTAAGCCACCTGATGATGAATAATACAGCAATAATGCAAGAAGCTAGTCACTTACAATAATGAATAATGATGCATATCTTCATCTTATATCACACTGGCTGAGATGTAAAGTTTGAGCTTCTTGCAAAAGCAGAATTGAAATAGGTAGAACATGTGAGATAGGTACATCTGGAAGAAACGTGCTCTTCACTGAGCCACACATCTCTAAGTCCAAAAGAATTAGCGATCACAAAAAATAAAATTACTTGCTATGATTTAACACAAATTCACTAAAATTCACAAGCAAAAAGAAGTTGTAATCATTCTTGGTAGAATGAAAACACATTTCATGCTACCATTCTCGGTAGCATGGAACATGGTATCCGGCCTTGAGTCGATGATGTGAAAGTAAATCAATAATATGACGTCATCATCCGCTTCTCTCAGCCAGTGAATTTCACGTATGAACGCGGCGGTCACACGTCCCACATCGACCACATCATCGTGCCTGGCAAACTTGCAGATGAACAGCTTCTGTCATGTTCTATCATCCCGCCTTCTCATGACAACCTCAGTCCCCATCTGCCTATAACATGTACTCTTCTGCTCCAAATAAACGGTGAAGAGAGGGAAAGACCAGCGCCGCGAGACCACTCCAGTTCTCACCGCACGGTACTGGATTGGAACAATTCCGACAGGAATCAAAGGTACTGTGAACTGCTCTCCACGCAGCTGGAGACAGTGGTCCAGCCAAACCTCAGCGCCGATCAGATAGACTGCCTCCTGACGTCAGCCATCCATCAAGCTGCAGCTGAGGCCGGCTGCTCCCGGCCCCGAAGACCGCCAAAGTCCTGGTGGAGCCCTTCAGTGTCGGCAGCACGGGACCGGGCGCGCCTGTGGCATCGCATTTGGACTCACGCCGGTCGACCACGGAATACGGTCCTGCACAACTGCTTCAAAGTTGCGCGTCGTTCATACAGGCAGGCCCGGGTCGATGCAGCACGTGCCCAGGTTGATAACAGCGCAAATCTCCTGTCATCGCTGCGTCAGAAGAAGGACATCAATTCGTTCTGGCGCCGTGTAGAGCAGGCTCGACGTGGCTCGGGCGGTTTGCGCTCCTCGCTCACGGCGGACAGCCTCGAGGCCCACTTCCGCCCCATTCATACGGACGAGGACACCCTCTCTGCAGCCCAAGATGATGTGCGCACCCGAGTAGAAGCCCTGCTGTCCCAGGCGAAAGAAGATCCTGGCCCCGCTAAGCGCGTCACTGCAGGAGATGTAGCTCGCTTGATCCCGCAAATCAACCGCAACGCATCACCAGGACCGGACGGCGTCACCGCTGAGCATCTTGTCTACGGCTCTTCAGGACCACTGCACGAGGCTATCGCCTCTCTACTCTCTGCCTGCCTCGCTGAAATGCGTGTCCCTGTCAGTTTCACATGCAGCACAGTGGTGCCTATCATGAAGAAGACCGGACTGGACCCCGACTCTGCCGATAGCTACCGCCCCATCTCTCTCGTGTCGACTATCTCCAAACTTTTGGAACTGATCCTTCAGGAAGAGATCGACACGTCATTTGAGGCCTCTGAACTTCAGTTTGGGTTCTTAGGGCATAGGGGCACCAGCGAAGCGTCTATGCTTGTACACGAGACCGCGCAACATTACCTATGCTATAAACTCCCGCTGTTTGCAGCTAACCTCGATGCTAGGAAATGTTTTGATCGTTTGTGGCATGATGGCGTCCTCTTCCGAGCGAGTGAGCACCTCCCACGCCGGAGCTGGGCGCTTCTGGCCTATTGGTACTCTCACCTGTCAGCCCGAGTACGTTTTGGTGGGAAGCTGTCAGACGCCTTCTGTGTGCGCCGAGGAGTGAGACAGGGTGCGCTTTTATCGCCGTGCCTCACCAATATGTTTTTATACCCGCTCATCCAACAGCTCGATGACTGTCGCTTGGGCGCCACGCTGTATGGCCACCACATCCCAGCAGTTGCATACGCTGATGATATTCTGATTATGTCTAGTAATGCACGCGATCTTCAATCAATGCTTCATATCGTCTCCTCCTTCTCAGTGTTGTGGAGGATAGATTTTGTACATGTGAACCAAAGCTTGACCAAGAGTCACAGCTTTATATTCGGGGCCGAGTTCCTCTCTCGGACGCCTCAGTGGCAGCTATGCGGACAGATCCTGAAGCACCGACAGGAAACCACACACTTGGGTGTTGAGCTGCGTTCCCAGCTACACGGTGCCGATCAGGTGACTGCCCGAATTCAGCGGAGCAGGGGTGCGTTCTTTGGCCTAACGCCGGCCGGCATGTTTAATCAGCACCTCTCCGCTGTTGATAAGGCATTTCTATGGCGGATGATTGTCGCTCCTGTTCTGATTTATGGATGTGAGGTCTGTTTTTTAAGCTCTGGAGATATTGCTCGCCTCGAAGGCTGGCAAGCCTCGGCGGTCAAAAGCGCGCTACGCCTACCGCGCACTGCCCACCACTCCGCACTAATGGCGGCACTTCGCATCCCAAGTGTACAAGCTCTCGTCCGGCGGTCTATTTTTCGCGCTACTCAAAACGCTTTTCGTGGCCAGCACCGCCTCCGTTGTGTGCTGGTGAGTAGCCTGGCCCAGTTGGCGACCAATGCGAGATTCGCGGAAACATCTGCTTCTATTGTGTGCCATCTAATGTCGCTATGTGGGGGAAACTTCATGAGGGTACTGGAGGCTGCCAGCGGTCATATACACGGAGACTGGGTGCACACGCCCAGGCCCGAGTGTGGCCTTGCGGACTCGCTCAGCTGGCTGATGGACAGCAACAGCGCCGAGTCATGGCAGCTAGTAAGGCTGCTTGTAACAATACATCCAAACTGATTCTCCTAGTCCGTCTGATGTAAAAAGCTGCCCGTGCTTTGCAAACGTGACTTTGTTGTGCCGTGCTGTGTTTGTATCTTCATGTGTCACGGTTATGTTATGAAGATATGTTCTCCTTGTTTTGTCCTCAAAGGATGTCAAATAAATATGATGATGATGATGATGATTTCATTTGTCCTATTGAAGTGCATTTACCATTTGTTGTTTGATTAAAATTCAATATGTATTGCAAAGTAATGTAATTTTTCGAAAATTATTCAATTGTGAAGCGAAATGACTGTATTTATTGTTTAAAACGTCATTTTTTTGTCTCCTCTGATTCTCATCGGGGGGGCCATCTTTCCTTAAGTGACATTTTTGAATGTTGATCAAGACAGCCCATATTCAGCCCAGATTCAGCCCGGATTCAGCCCAGATTCGGGACACCTCCGATCAAGCTGAAACTCGCACACAATGTAGGCCATGACATGCCCAATCCACAGTCCAAGTCATTCGGTGGCACTCCCAGCCGTTTGACCTACAGAGGTCAGCAAAGGTCACGTAGCCCAAATTTGCACAGCAGATTGTGGCCCACCCAGTAGAGCTAGAGCGCTAAAAATGGCACCAATCGACTCGCCAGCATCTAATCTTACTTTCCCAACACTCATTTGACCTCTCAAGGTCATGCGATGACCTAAGGTCATTTGTGGGCTATGTCGAAAATACACTTGCACAGCAGTTTTCGAGTAGATGGATTGACCGAATTCCAAATCAAAGCACATCATCGGGTAGCCCATAGTCCGTAGTAACTTTCCTTGAAAACCGCTTTTCGATATGTGACCCCGTTTGACCTCGGCAGGTCAAAATGTGCAAATAAACGACA